TCAAAACAAATAGCAATACTCTAAGTGTGTAAGCAAGCATATGAGTAATTTCATTTGCTTAAAACATTCAGAACACTGTTCACAGTTTTGCCATAATGTAATATTTCCCTCAGCTTCATTTGAAGAATCACTGTGGCCCCAATACTTTACATGACTTATAACACTTAATCTTTTAATTAAAAAAGGAGGACAAAGCCAACAACATATACATATGTATATATATATATATACACATATATACACCTCACACTATTAGTGATATTGTTCTCTTTCTCAGTTAAGAAAGAAAATTCTTCATTTAAGAAAGCTACTCTTTTCCATGTCATACAGAATGCATGGAATGCATTATGCTATAGCATTCTGTGTTAACATATCATATTCCATGTTTAAATAGGAAGTATCTGGTAGTATAAAATATGAGGAATGGAATCTCTTTTGTACAGTTTTCCATGTTATCATCTCTGTGCCTTATTGGTTAAAAACCTAATAAAGGGGCTGGGGATTTAGCTCAGCGGCACAGGGCCTACCTGGCAAGTGCGAGGTCGTGAGTTCGATTCCCGGTACCAGAAACAAAGCAAAACAAAACAAAGAAAACCAAAAAACCTAATACAAGTCACTCACTCCATTAGCATAAATATCATCTCTTCACATTTATTTTTTGGTAGCTACTAATTCTCTCCCTTTACTGTTATATTACAAATAAAATAAAGCAAAAATTATAAGCACTTCCTTTTAAAATGGACCTTCAAGTCAATTGGGTTGAAATATAAAGTATTAAATGAAAACTGTGACATAAAATGTAGCATAAAAGACTGGACAGAGTCACCAATTTTACTGTATCTGATCCTAGTTAGAGAAATAGGAGTGAGATGGCAATAAAGAATGTCTTCCCATTTTTTAAATTAAATTTCGTGGGTATTGGTTGTTTGGGATTGGATGTCATTTAACTGCCCATGATTTCTTGTGAAGCACAAAGAAAAAAAAGAAAACAGGGTTTCACCATCAGTACATAACTTTAATGGGGGTAAGTAATACTTACTTAATTGCCTTCTAGCTAAGATCAATGAGATTCTTTGGTCAAAATAATGTTTCTTAGCAAGTGTCAGAAAAACTGAGAAGACAACATAATTTACCATATATCTTCCCAAATCTATTATCTTCGATTAATTTTAGCCATGGAAACTACTACTTCAAGTTTTTTTGGGAAAGATGGCCAAACACAAACCCTGCACCTCATAGTGACCATGTGTCTACGTTCTGTCAAATACTGTGGGAGTACAAGCGATTTGTGCTACTTCTGTGTACAGTTTTTGAAAGGAGTTAACACACCTTCCACTGTGGTTTTCTATCAGTACTATATCAGGACCCAGGTGTCATGGTTGAAACCCTTTTGACAAGATACAAAAATCCATCCTGGGTTATGGGGATAAAAGATAAGAAAACCTCATTTAGTCTCTAAATAGCGCCATGATGCAAATCTTATACCACTCCTCCAAACTTCCTATAACTGTATTTCTTTCATTCCTCAATTTACATCCCTGGGTCTCAGGCTTCTTTTCTTCTGAGAATGCACAGGAGTCTAGAAAATAAGGCGTAACGCATCCACAAAGAACTGGCGTAGAACAAACAGAGAGAGCAAAATCAGATTCTTCTAGGTGGGCCAAAGGGAAGGAAATCTTGTAATTCATGTGGGAAATAAACACTTGTGATTATTAGTATTGATGAAATCATTACATAATTTAAAAAGGGATGCAAATTGAAAAAGAAAAGCACAAGGCATGAATTTTTTGCCTACTCATTATGGGAGGGACTGGAATTAGAAAGATATATAGCAAAGCTCATTAACTATGAAACAAATCTATAAATTCATGTTTATTCATTGATTGCCATATCCGTTTGAAGTTTCAATACGATTTAAATTGATAAAAATTTAACTAGAGTTACTTTCCTAGGAAAAAGTTATGAGTCTTAACAAAGTAATGTTGGTGGTTTTCTGAAAATCTTAAAGTTGTTCAATTCTCTCATCATCATACTTATATCTAGTTATAAGTAATTGTCAAGTGTTAAAATATGCTTTAAATTACTGTAGGATAAATTGCCTTATACCTTGCCTTAAGCGATACTTAAGTTACAAAATTCAATCTCTGTCATCTCACAGAGTGAATTTAACACTCAATTCTTAATTGTAGCATGTACTTGAGCCTTTTTCTTTAAAGCTTATTCTTATCAATTTTTAGAAGTAATTGTGACTGACTCAAGTCTCTTGGCTCCTCTGAAGTTCTGCTTCCATGTTATAATAACAGAAGTGTGGCTGCAATTTTCTTTTTTGAATTGAGAAATAATTGAGGACAGTTTTGAAAAGATGTCAAGTGCTTGTTTTCCCTGAATAATCCTGTAATTTTGAGTTTTGAGCACCACATCATGAATGATGTGTTTAATGCTGATGAAGAAATTGCATTTAAGCCAGAAATGTAAGAGTTTGCAGATAAAAGAAATATAGTGGGTAGAAGCAGATAAAGCTAATTAATATGGATTCATTCCAAAGGAAAAAATGTGGTTTTGACAGTTATAAAGGGAAATATATGGTTGAGAACTCAAAGGCACAAATGATAGAGATGAATCAATATATGAAAATAAACTGAAACCATAAAGATGGGGGCATGTTATGCTACACAGATAGTTGAAATTATTCTATGCATTTTATGAAAATTGGGATGTGGTACCATTTCATAAGTGAAATATAGGTTTAGGCTATGTCATTATTTAAAGGGAGAGGCATATACATTTAAAATATAATGGAATAAATACCAAGTATGTTACCTCTTTGAGAGCCTATAATGTGTAGTACACTATTATATCTAAAATTATTCTAAATAATAAGTAAATAAAATTTAATCTCCTAAAAGATATTTTTTCACTACCTCATAGAAGAAACAAAACACTTTAAATTGTAAAATTAAAGATTATAAATACAAAACAAAGAAATAGACAGGCAGAACACGCTACTTAATTACAATTATGTGCTTTATTTTTTTAGGACAGTGATATATTTCAGATACAAATTATTAATTGGAAAATAAAACTTTAAGCTAATAATTAGTGGGTTTGCACAATACACAAATGAAAGAAAAAATGAAAGAAAGGAAAATAGAAAAGGAAGAATGCAATCCTAATTAGATGAATGAATGCAAATAAAAATACTGTAGCAATAGGTATAATATCTGATTTGAGTTTTAGTTCATTATTATTACCAAACTACTAATATTAATTGAAATTTTACACTTCATTTCATTTTAACATATTTCCTATGATAAGATGCAAAGAACATAATCAAATTCATGTTTCCTCTCTTTTTAATTTTTTATTTATATTTGTCTTTTATTAGTAAATATTTGCACTACATAATGACCTCACTCACTGGACTGAATTGGTATATATACATAACACATTTCAATTCTTTTCTTTCCTCTTTCCTTTCATGTTTTATTTTTTCTTTTATTTTCCAGCATCAGATTCATTCGTTTACCTTACAAGGCCTTATAAAATTAATTATAACATATACAGATTAAAAAACAGTCAAATTAGCTAAATAATATATAAAATGTGGCAGAAATTACTTACTAAATCAGAGTACATTTTTAGGTACATCATCTTATGTACTTTCTCATTTATGACTATCGGGGGAAAGACAGTAAATAATCAAAGGGGACAAAAATGGCTAAACTTTACTGTCAACTGGTTGAGCATTTATGTGAATTAAACATTTAAATATGGTTAATTAAGCCATTAACCTTTACATTAAAAATTCCATTTCACACTGTGTACTACACCACAGTTCAGCTGTATTTCAGGTATTAATTAAATTTAATGCCAACATATTTGTTATCTATTAATTTATTTATTGAAAGACTAAAAATATTCAGTATCAGTATTTTATCATTAAATTAGTTTTACCTAATGTTATATTTGATAATTTTTTAAAATACATATCATTGTCTATTAATTAAAAGGAGTAACTATAAGAATTGTGACTATAGGAGTAATTAAAGCACAAATTCATTGTTAAATTTTTATTTTGGTGTTATACCTTGCGTTTACATGATGATTATAATCACATTTATGGAATTGGAATTCATGCAATGGCATTTCATAAAAATAAAATTTTTAAATTGGAATTGTTTTTTTTTTTTGTTTGTTTGTTTTTGTTTTTCTCCAGTACCGGGAACCGACCTCACGACCTTGTGCTTGCCAGGCAGGCGCTTTTGCCGCTGAGCTAAATCCCCAGCCCCTAATTGGAACTGTTATAATAAAAATTTATGTAGTAATGCATCCACTATCTCAATATATAAGTGAAAATTCTATTCCATAAATTTAAAAATAACATTATTATAATTATACTTTGCAATGAAAAGCACAAAGCATAAAGTTGGCATTCATCATTATGTCCTTAACTATATTTCAGGTTCCTTATATCTAATTTTCCTCAGAATTTTGACTTTATCATAAACAAAAATAGCAGTACCAGAGGTATCACAGAACTCAACTCCAGAATATACTTACAAAGCCACAATAAAAACAAACTAACTGAACATGATGATGCTATCTCAAAAATGTACAATTGAATCAGTAGAATAGAATATAGCACACAGAAACAAACCCATCTGCCTTTTGAAAAAGGGGGGAGACACACACATAGAGGAAAAGAATGCCCCTTTAACCAATGGTACTGAAAAAACTGGATAACCACAAGAAGAATACTAAAATAAGGTCCCTATGTTTCATACTGCACAAATGTTAATATGAAATACATCAAAGACCTAGGTATAAGATGTCAAAATTTGAAACTGCTAAAAGAAATCATAAAGGAAATGCAGCCAGGAGTGATGGTGCACGCCTGTAGTCCCAGCACTTGGGACTCTGAGACAGGAAGATTGTTGCAAGTTCGAGACCAGCCTGGGCTGCAAAGTGAGCTCAAGGGCAGCCTGAACTGCATAGCGAGACCCTGTCTCAAAAAGACAAAGATTTTATTTGCACTTTTTCTGCTTCTGGTTAATGTTCTAGACTCACCGGTTTTGTTTTGCTGTGAATTTTTTCTTTTTAGTCTTTTTGAGACTTTAAAAAGATTAATTTAAAAATTAATTTTAAATTTAAAAATTTAAAAATCCTGTGAGTAGGGTTTGAAAAGGTTGTGTCCCCTTGATGGATGCATCCTTAGTAAATCAAAAGTGCTACCTCAGTGTTAAGACACGGAAGAATGACTTGTGCGCCGTGCTTTTATTGTAGCCAATCCTTGCTGTTCCAACCCGTGTCAAAACCGAGGGGAATGCATGACCGTAGGCTTTGACCGCTACAAGTGCGACTGCACCCGGACCGGCTTCTACGGTGAAAACTGCACTACACGTAAGTGTGCCTCTGGGGTCCCTCCTTTGGAATGGGGCAGCAGTCAACATTCCAAGAGATGTGTCTTTGTGACAAGCCCCATTAACTACTTTTCCCCCCTCTTACAGCTGAATTTCTAACAAGAATAAAGCTACTGCTGAAGCCCACCCCGAACACCGTGCACTACATACTTACTCACTTCAAGGGAGTCTGGAACATTGTCAACAACATCCCCTTCCTGCGAAATGCCATCATGAGATACGTGCTGACGTGTGAGTACAAGGCTTTCTCCAAGGTTTTCAGTTTCTTATACTGCTAATCACTAATTCAAAAAGATTGCTGGGCGTGGTGGCTCACACCTATAATCCCAGCACTGGGGAGGCTGAGGCAGGAAGATCATTGTGAGCTGGGGACCAGCCTGGGCTACAAAGTGAGCTCAAGGCCAACCTGAACTGCATAGCGAGACCCTGTCTCAAAAAGACAAAGAGAAAAGGGAAATTCAGTACTTAAAGTCAGAGACAGCAACTTTGTGAGAAGGAACTCAGTAGAGCAGGGTTAATAGCAAGAGTCAGCACATGGATATACATGAAATGTAAAAGCTTCTGCACACCAAAGGAAACAATCAACAGAGTGAAAAAAATGTCTCCATAATGGGAGAAAATCCGAGTCAGCTGCACTTCAGACAGAAGATTAATATACAGAATATATAAAGTCCTCAATAAACAATATGAAATTCCCACAATTGATAAATGGATAATGAACTGAGCAGATGCTTTTCAAAAGAAGTACAAGAAGCCAAAAAGTGTGTGGGAAAAAAAAAAAAAAAACCTTTAACTTCTTAGCTACCAGGGAAATGCAAATCAAAACTACATTGAGATTCTATATCAGCCCACTCAGAATTGCTATCATCAAGGGGGAAAAAAAAAGCAGTAAATGCTGACGAGCATTTGGGAAAAATGGAACTCTTCAATGCTGCTGGAAGGAATGTAAATTAGAATAACCATTATGAAAATCAATATAGATGTTCCTCAATAAAGTAGAAATGGAGCTAGCATTTTATCCAGCTATCCGACTCTTCAGTATATTTCTGAAAGAATTAAAGCAGTGTACTCTAGAGATATGTGCACACAGACGTTGCTCTCTGTAGCACAATTTAGAATAGATAAGCTAGGAAAAGAGCTGAACTTTTTAAACAGTATATCTGCATACATTGTTCCAACTGGAAATCTTGATACAGGAAAAAGGAACTCTTGAGCAGCTGTTTCTTATAGTTTTTCAATTCAAGGGTTTTAAGTTCCAGCAATATGTCATCGAATATTTAATTTTGCTTTACGCTTTGAATAGTTAGTAAAATCTAGACTTGACAAATCAGCCTTTTATGTTAGCACAGTTTGGTAGCAATGTCAAAACTCATTTCCAGACTTGTGGATCATTTTTGGTTGAGAAACAGTGGAAAAATGATGTGAATTGTATTTAAGAATGGCTTGCTAGGAAACTCTGAGGTCAGTAGGCAAATTCCTAAAGAAACTAGTGGGACAATTTGAAAGGTATAAATGTAGACCCACAGGATTTGGCCAAAGAAAAGGAAAGAGAATAAAATTCATTAAAAAGTGAATAAAAATAACTTACTCTTACTTTTATTACAGTTGCGTTGTCCTTGCTGAAATGAGAAAACATTGAAATTATCATTTATGAAGAGAGAAATCAGAACAAAATAAAATTTGTAAGACATAGTATTATGTTGGTTATTGAGATACTTTTATATTTCCTAGATACCTAAATAAACAAGTGAAAATTACATATGTGTCTGGGAGCCACAACCGGGTGTGCATGGAATGCAAAAGGCATTCTTGGTAAGACATGACCCTCCATGTACCATGATTCCCATGCATAATAGAGAGATCACTTGAAAGGTCATAATCTGAAAAGTTCTAAAATTAATGAAAGTTCTGATAATGGTTATGGCACATATTAAACAATGAGGAGATTATCTTGTTTATCTCTATTACATTAAAACATATGCATTACATGTGAATAGAAAATGTACCTTCATCATGTGATGTGACCACCAATTCTCTCCTTCATCAGTTTGAAATACTTTGTAAAATGAGAATTTTGGAGATTGTTTAAGTCTTCATTTATTATGTTAAGTATAATATAGTAATAGTACATTATAGTATACTATTTGAGTGACACAATAGTTTTGTTTCTTCTTTCATCCATTTTAAGACCCATATTTGCCAAGTATAACAGATGGATGGCTCATGGAGAGAGATATAAATCTTCTCAGATTACAGAAGTTGTGTGCAAGCATTTCAGCTGCTCAGATACACAGTCTATACAAGAGACACCATAGTCAAAAGAAGATTAGTGCACCATTATTGAATTGGCAAGCATCTTTTCACTGTGTGTCAAAGTAGAGACAGGCATAAAGGTTTAATTGTATGTATTGAAAACATGTAGGAAAGAAGAACTGTTATGGTTGATACATTGTGTCAACTTGGGGAGTCTAGAGGTTTGACTACGTGACTCAGCAGTTCTGTCTCTTGGGGTGAAAAGGACACGCCCTTACCCTTCTGGGATGTTGTTTATTGTGTTAATTTGAGAAGTTTAGAAGGTTAACTATGTAACTCAGAAGGGGTCCAGGGTGCTTAATTTGTATTCATCCTGAGCCTGTGCAAGAGGCAGGCATGCAGAGGGTGTGGATGTGGAGGACCACCCCCACCTCCCCAGAGCAGGTAGACTGCATAATAAAAGGAATTGAGGAAGGACTGGCTGGGGGTTCTTCAGAGGACCTCCGGTCTTTGCCTTCAGCTTGGTCGTCTCCTGCCTCCTGGTGCAGACTGTTGGCGTTCCGTAGCAGACTCATCAGCCTTCTGGTGTTGGCTCTCAGGCCTTCATTGTAGATTCTTCAGCAGTCTGTCGCAGACCCATCAGCCTTTTGATACGGACTTGCCGCGACACTGCAGCGAGCTCCAGGCCCGGGGCTGGGCTCTTCAACCTCCAGCGTGCAGACACCCTCTGCACACTTCCTCATCCAACTCTGTAGCTGACCATTGTATGCCAAACTTTTAATTCCTTGTACATTTGTTTATCTTGTATTATATCTGTTCCTCTAGTGAACCCTGATACAAGAACCAAGTGGAACATTTAACTTCTGTTTTAAATAATTAATATATTATCAATAATGGTATATTTCTAGGATTTATTAGCATATTTTTGATAGGAGTGTGATATGAACTTGAAATAATTTAGAAATAATTTTCAATATTTTGTCTAGTTGTTGAAAATAAGCTCACAGTTAAGCACAGCCAAAGTAGAGAATGCTGAATTTCATGTCTGGACATTATCTCTACCACATATGTGGCCTATGTTTTCACTTTTGTGAGCCTTTCATGATGCTTTTTATTTATTGTAATTCCATCTTCATTTTTTTATGTTCCAGTGAATGTGCTATTTTTTTCTCTATCAAAATCTTTTGTGTCTTTCTTTCTCTTGCATAGATAATTTTTGGCATTTCAGAAATATCAGAGCCATGGAATTGAATTAGTACACACCTTTGAATCTCTGTGAAACAAAACTATCAACTAACCGGGAACATTTAACTACCATATTACACAATCCTATGAATTAAATATACATCGTATTTTATATAAATGAAAACAAATATTGATGTAACAGTTGTTACACGTTTTTGTTTGTGTCTAGATGTCCCCCCAAAGACTTATGCATTCATGGGTGCAGGCTTTTTCAGAGGTAATTGAATCTGGAGTTCGTGATTGATTCATGGTTCAATGCTGGAATTAAGGTTGCTGCAATTAAGACTGTATGATTGCAGGATCACTATATTGATTGGACTGGCACTGCCCAAATCCCACCATAGAAAGAGTCTTATTTCCCCTTCTGCTCTTGTTGCTTTTGCTGTCTCCACCACCAGGAACTGCTCTCTCTCTGTCACACACTCTGCCTTGGAGCCAGAGGATTATGGACTGAAACCTCCATAAACTGAGAGCTAAATAAACCTTTCCCTCTTTAACTATGAGTGTCTTCATTTTGTTCAGCAACAAGAAAACTAACTAAAACAATAAAATGCATACATATATTTCTTATTCTACTGGGCATTTGCAAAAGGGATCCCTAGAACATAAACTGAGATTTGGGCACAGACATGTTTTTGATCCACATTTGATGTTTAAAGTCGAGCAAAGCCTTATTCCTCTTGGTTTTTGAACAAACATTGTGACAAATAAAATTCATTATATATCAGCAAAAATGAATTTGATTCCTCTTCTGTTCAAATATTTTAATGTTTTTAAATATATCAACCCTTTTCAAATTATATTATAAATGCTATATATTTTCACTTTATAGTACACTTATAGTTTGTTTTCTTATGAAGTGAAGACCTTAACTCATAAATGGATTAAGAAATAATACCTAGAACATATAAGAATGGGAAAAATATGGATATTTTAATCTAAAATGGAATTTGTGAAAGTGGATGTGTTGTGAAATATGGCATCAAAATCATCTGGCTGTTGGTTGATGGCTGTTCCCAAATTTCTTTCTGCAATCAAATGTTATTGATCAATAAACGTCATGTGTGAAGTTTGAGTTGTTGGCCTATGTTGTTTTGCAATGTCCTATAGGGGTTTGGGCTATATGTAGGGTTTTTTGCCTGAGCATAGATGTCTGCTGTTGTTGTCCTCCACTACACATGGTGCTTAAGGTGCCTTGATACCTTGATTTCATATCCTCCTTCTTAGTCTCACACCACTACAATGAAGATGCTGCATGATCTTCATATTTTCAGTTTCATAAGAATGAGTCCAAGGGGCTGGGGATTTAGCTCAGTGACAAAGCGCCTGCCTGGCAAGCCCAAGGTTGTGAGTTCGGTTCCCGGTACCGGAGAAAAACCAAAAAAAATAAAGAAAGAAAGAAAGAATGAGTCCACCAGTGTCTCATTGGAGCTCATCCAGATTGGAGAAAAACTATATGCCATACTACACAGCATTCTTCTTCAGATTCAATTCAGTAGTTGTGGATGCTAATAAATGTGCAGTAATGTATTAGGGTGCATCACCAGTTCCCAGACCACTTTTTAAATCTTTTTGAGTGACATGCACACATACCCAGAAAAGACAGTGTTCATATCATAATTTCACTAATTTTAACCATGTGGATATACCTGAGTGATAAATATTCACGTTCAGAAACACCATCCTTATCACCAGCATGCTAGTCAAGACATAGCTGACCCTGAGTTTCTGACAGATTCATGTAAAGAACTGACAAATGCTGCTTCATATTTTATTCTCTTGGAGTGAATTTAACAGCATTAATATCAATAC